AGGCACCTTCTTCGGATACATCCCCTCCAGGGGTAGTCCTAAATACGCTGATGGCCAATAACCCACTTAATCATCACACAATTCTTGGACAACCAATCCATGCCAAGGATGATCTCCAAATCAGCCATCGGAAATCCTATCCGATCCACCGAAAACTGACGGCCATCCCACTGAAACACGACATCTCGATGTACAGTGGAGGTATCACACTTTTCTCCGGTGGTAGTAGTCACCCCAGAGGTGGAGAAACCACAGCAATGGGCAACTCAAGCCCCACAACAATCAGAGTCGCGATGAAAGAATGTGTCACCCCAGAATCAAATAAAACATCAATCGCAGAACCACTAATGGAAGCAGTACCTCGCACAAGGTTCGAAGCTCTGTCCGACTGCTGTCGGTCCAAAGTATAAACTCGACCAGTGGCAGGTGGCAAAACAGGTGCCGATGTGGTTGCAGTAGGAATCATCTGCAATGGAATCGCCTGAACCGCTGCAGATCTCGCCATAGACGACGAGCAATCTCTAGCATAGTGGCCCTCCTTGCCACAGTGAAAACAAACGACCTGCCCGATTGCACACGACCCAACATGGAATTTCCAGCATCCAGTACATCTGGGAGTAGGAGGTCTAGTTACAATCCCTTGAGCCGAAATCCTCTTGGACTAAATTTGTGCTTGCCTCGCAGCCCACTGCTTTCCCCTACCTCTACCTCCAAACTTCCTGTCTCTCCAGGAAGTGGAACTACTGGTTCCCTTAACCTCAGCTACCTTGGCCCTCTTGGCCTTGCTCACAATGCAGACGTCCTCAACGTCACGACACTGCTGGATTAAAGTACTGAAGTCTCTGGAAGCAGCTCCAGCAATCCGATCTGTGATCTCCTCATTAAGTCCCCTACGGAACTTAGCATCCAAGAATGTCGGCGTAGGCATAGCAATCCTGAAATGTGCAAATTTGACCAATTCATTGAACTTAGCCAAGTACTCGTCCACAGTCATCGAGCCTTGCACTAAACGATCAAACTCTCCCTGTTTTCGCTCCTACGCATCATATGGGAAGTATCTCCCAAAAAATAGCTCCTCAAAGAATGGCCATGTAATCACATGACCCTGCATCTCATAGACCTGAGAGGTGTTCGTCCACCACTCGTGAGTGTCTCCCTCCAGCATATAGGTGGCAAACATCAACTTCTGTGGATCTGTGCACTGCGTAACTCTGAGGATCTTGTCCAAAGACTGGAGCCATCTCATAGCAGCAATTGGATCATAGGATCCCTCAAAAGATGGTGGCTTATGCTTGCGAAAAGCATTCAGCCGGCGGTCAATCGTCTCTTTGTCCTCAACAGGCTCATGGTAGGGTTGCATCATCCCAGTAAGATGACTAGCACCCTCCAGGTGACTCAGACTATCGTCCTGATGACTGGGTGGAGGCGGCGGTGGTGGTGGCAGTGGAGGTGGTGGCGGAGGATGCTGGCCATCAACACGACCAATCCTCATCTCCTCCAATATGACCCTCATCATGGTCATGTTCGCCAGATGGTTTGCCTCCAACACATCCTTTGTGGCTTTCCTATTCGCCTCTCTCACGGCATCCAGCATAGCCTGATTAGCCACTCTCATGGCTTCTTGGTCGGCTTGTCGAGCCGCCTGCATCTCAGCCAATGCAGCCAGGACCGGGTCAGGTTGACCCTCTCGTGTCTCTCGGTCCCTCCGAGGTAAGACCATGACTCTGCACTAGTTACACAAAGAGTGAGTTGATTAGACCCACGCAATGTGGTCACACATGAATCATCATAGTAAAACCCGAAAGAACACAACAGACAAAACACAACAAACATCCTAAGTTATTGCAACACATACAGACTTTTTCCCTAGAAAGTGCTCTGATACCACAAAATGTAACACCCCGTATGCATTCGGATATATTATCATATTAGGGTATTAATCGCAGATCAATTAAGTGCGGAAGCTAACTTTTTTCTTTCAATTATGACGTCATTATTATTACCAAGTTGATTACTTAATCCTTTTACAAAATAATGCCTGTATGTAAATTGCAATAAAACAACTAACGGAATAACCTCAAATTAATAAATGTGTATCTAGTCACGGAACTACAACATGTAGACCAGAGGATATCCTGATAGATTATACAAACTCAAGTCTGAATAACTTAGTGAAAACAATGTGGCATGGACAACCTCCATGCTCACCAATTAAGGCAATTAAGGCAACAAAGCCCAACAATGTCTCAACAACAATAACAATGTAATAAAGGTAAAACATAGTCAGCAACCAGGCATATAAGTAAAAGCAGCATGCATCAATCAGTCAATTAAGCTTCGGCCTCATGCCACCCGAGGTATCAACCCCCGAGTTACCTGAACCTGAAATGTGCTCCAAACGTGGGGTGAGATCTCTAAAAAGAAATCTCAGTAAGATAAGGGATCCTCAAGGATCTCTCCACCCCAATCTCACTTACATGTGTAATATAAGTTCAAAAAGCAGTATAACAGTATAAGTTCAGAAATCAGTGCAATGCAGCATATAACCATGTCATGTGTGTAAAAATCCTATTGGCCAGAGAACATGCAGGATTTACATACGTCTACAACCCACAGTAGTACAAACCGCTGAATGTACCTGCCCAAAGGATCACCATATTGTATGATGCTACATACTCAGGCTTACCGTCTAGGCGGAACATCACATACATATCATAAGGCATTTGCACTTAACAGCTCAAAAGCAGTTCAATAAATCATCATTTCATAAAGGCACATCATGCATATAAACCATCCCTCTATGAGGTATGGTGGAACCAAACATGGGCAAAATCGAGAACACGAAATCTTACCTCGCATGCTAACTATCCAACTCAAGTGTCCAACCCAGTCCAAGGTCCAAACATAGCACAATTATAATCTGTTCAGATCAGACACATCATCAATATCCATACTCCTTAAAGTTCATTTCGTTATGACAACATTTCCTTTTTTTTTCATGCCATTAGGCTTCTCACAAAGCCATAAGCCCTTAATCCAATTGATCCTGACTTAGATTATTCATTACAGGGGTTCAACTAGTCAATCTAGGGTCCATAAACCCCAAATACAGTTCTGTATGAACAAAACAGTGACTGTCTCGAAATTCCCAAAATATCTGAATATTTGTCGGGGACATATCTGGATATTCATATCCGGATATCAATATCTGTATATCATATCCGGATATTTCGCGACAGAATGCAGATTTTGCATTTCGCAAAGATATCCTTCCAAGGTTGCATTTTTAAGGTTTCCAGACGTTCAATCATGCACTTTTAAGTGTGTTTCACCTTACCAACCCTTAAGTTATCAAGTTTCACTTGTTACATGCATCAAGGTTCATTCTTTCCAAAGAAAATTCAGAAACAAAGGTGGTGAAGCTTATCCAAGGCTCAAAACAGAAAAGAGGGGTGCTCTTGGAGCTCGCTGTGAAGCTCCACAAGTCTAACTACAAAGGTCCACGAATTTGACCATTAAAGTTTGGTTCTTTGCTACCAAAACTGGCTTCTTGCACCCTCACACAACAAGGAAATGGCTCATACTACTCCACCTATGAACTCAGCCCCCTAAACCCCAACTAACCTAAACCCCAACTAACAGCAACCACAACTCAGAAAAAAGGCTTTTCTCCCACTAAAGTCTCATCCACACACAACCAAGGTGTTTTGATGAAGAAACAATGAAAAAATGTGGTCACTTTGGAGGTTTCTATGGAGAAGATGAAGGTGGCAAGGTGGGAAAGGGTGGCAGCAGCCCAAAGGATCAAAAACTTCACGAGAAAATGACCTAAAAATATGTGCCAAACCTATTTATAGGCGAATTAAGTTTAACCACATTGTATTAGCACTAATAGCTACGCTTATCATTTTAATCTCAAACTTGGGATTCTGAACCTAGCCATTTTTCTAGGATTTGTCATATTTTTATTTTATTTTTCGCAACACTTTTCCGGTACGCGCTTTTACGTAGCCGGTATCAGTTCTGGCATTAATTCTCATTATTTTGACTTCATACTTATTTCACTAGTCATATATATTATATTAGTGATATATACATACTTTTCATAATTTTCTGGGATACTTCATCGATACACATTTATACCGTGAGACAGAACCGATATCTGCACTTTTCGTCAGAAATGCGACTTTCAACATTAATAATCAGTTACTATAATTATTTAAGCTTCTCATAATTTTTTAGGTTCAATTATGAAATTATTTCTTAAATTCACATTTAATTAATTTAAATTTCTAATTTAACGGTGCGGGTTCTTACAAATTGCATATAATTGTTTTTTATAGAAATCTTTTTAGATTACCAAAAAAAAAAAAATAATACCATTTTTTCCTTTTTTAGGTTAGTTTAGAAACTGACTTTTGACATTTACTTGTTATCTATGAGTAGTAATATATACTTTATTACTAATCGCTGCAGTCTGGATGTTAAATTTAATTTGGCTTTTTTTATGTTAATCATTTTAAGAAGATATCTACCAAGACCCTACGCTCTTCACATGACTTTTGCAATAAATCCTTTGTACGTGTATGCTTTTTTTTTTTATTTTTACCCTTTTAATGCATTAAAAATATAAGAAGTTATATTGAAGAGTATGACTAGACAATAACTAATACTCGTAGTGATCAATTTTTTTTTTTAAATTACATAGGTGTGGATAAATTAAGAAATTATGATTATAATTTGTAAGTTGTTAGTACGAAGAAACATAAACATTTGGCACTACTAATTGTCTCATCCGATATATGACTTTCTAAATATTTGCTTCTATTTCTCCACGGATTTATAAATGACTTTATTTGATCTTCGCTTATTTTGACCATGGTATTAGCGACCTGGTCGATGATATAATACCTTAATTTCATTACTAAAAACTGCATACAATCATCGACGGAACAAATCCGGCGTAGGTAATAGATTATATATAATAGAAATCGCTTCTCCTACTTGTGTTGCTTGATGCTTATTGGATCCACAAGCAGTGCAAAAGCGTAATCTTTCAACAGTTCATCATTTGTGAATTTATCCCCAAAGTTATCGTACGCAAAATCAGATATACGCCCCACGTTAAGAATACAATCAAGTACGGGCTTTGGGATGTGGTCATGCTTGAGGCACTCTTCATTCAAAACCATCCATAAATCATTGATCTCCTTGAGAATGAGTTTATATGCCTCTTCTTGTGAAATGCCATATTGCTTCATGCAACATTCAACTGCTGAAGCAACATGCGCTCGTTGCGCCTCAAACTGTAAATTAAATAAAGCAAATCCAAAAGCTCTCTTAGATATGTCATATGATTTTCAAAATTAATTGAATCAAACCAAAGCTAGCTCATGCCATAGGGCTAATATCGGATATAATGAATTCATATTGATTCAGATTATATCAAAATCAAACCTAAACAACAACAAAATAGTGCCTTTGCAAAAAAGACTATTTCCATACTGGAACCATGATTTCTGATCACAAGGGGTAATCTTATTGCTGCTCCGAGGTTTGTCTCACCCTCAAACCTAAACAAAAATATAGTTGAACAAAAAATAAAAATAAAAATTTGTACCTTATGTGAGGCTGTGTCATCGATGAGTCTGCCAATAAGTGATACAGCTTTCAAGATTGGTGGATCGTTGGAAATCCAGTCAAGAACTTCTTTGGTTGAAAATTCTCCCAGGCCAACAAAACATGTTATCTGAAGAGGATATGAAGAAGATTCAGCTCCATTAACCTTGTAGTCATCATATGTTGGAATATAACCCTCATGGCCCCATTTTGCTTCAACCAAGTAGGATCGTGCCAAGTTATAAAACTGCAAGTAAAATAACCAAAATGTTAATTGATTATTAAATGAATGTTGCAAATTAAGCTCCATTGATCAGTTTAAAGGAACTAGAAGCCTTACAGCTTGTTTAACATATTGCAACACCAAGCTCGATTTTCCATCCTCTGCAGTCACCAACTCTATTTCATCCCACAGTTCAACAACTGCATTGAATACTTCTTTCATGCACTCAGGAAGAGATTGAATGGGACTAATATCCCATCTGAAAATCAAACAAAAAGAGAATTATGAAGAAAAGTTGTAGGATAAAAATATCACGAGATTCATCATGTTAAGCGTTAATGCTCCCATTGAGATAACTTAATATAAAATTCATCAATCATTTTGGACTCAAATCAACCTCTGAATTGCTTGTGTGAAGAGTTCAAGTTCTTCAACTGTGCCATAGGCGTCATAAGTATCATCTAGAAGACAGATACATGCAACCAATTTGCCAACTATTCTTCTCCCAGTGCTATATCTAGGCTCATATGACATGGCTAGTGGCCAAAAGTAAGCTCCAACCACCCTATCTCTAGCGTGAGGGACTTTTGTCTCAAAGTCTGATTCTTTCCACCACCTATATATACAACACAAATACAAGCAATATCATATTGATTAGTTGTTGATCAGCAATCGTTTAATAAGAATTTAAGGAACTATTCCCCCTTCTATGATTTAAAGCTTTATAATATTGCCGAGTTCTTTTTGATGCAGCTTCTGTAGCAAATTGAAATCTATTTTTGCAAAGGTTAGAAGAACTTCGCTGTGGGAAGGATCTTCTTCATAGAAAGACATATAATGCCTTGCCTCCAACCTAGGAACTCCCTTGTGAAGTGGTTGCCTTAAGCAGTGACTGATTTGCACAGCGAGAGATGGGCTCAATTCATGGGTCAAGGACTTAAGGTGAGTGTATGTGAAATCAAGTGCTTCATCTAGTATGTCTTCCCCGTGAACCCTTAATTGTGCAGCTTCATACAAGCTCCACATTCCTTGAACATCTTTGGCAAGTTTTTCATTGAAGTTTCCATTGTTGTTCTTGAATTTGCTAAATACATCTATTACAATTTACCCAAATATGTGCTATGAGATGTTAATGAAATTATTATGAATTTTTGCAGAAAAAAGTTATATTTACAAATTTTTTGTTTACAAACTATACTATGTCTTATTGATAAGACACTCTTAAGTGAAGTCTTACCGGTAAAATATATATAGTTTGTAAATTTGTAAAAAAAAAAATTGTCAATATAACTCCATCTATGTATATATATAACGGGAAAGATTATATTTACAAACTTTTTGTTTACAAATTCTTATAAATTATACTATGTATTATCAATAAGACACTCTTTAGTAAAATCTTACCAGTAAAACACACTGGGTAGTTTGTAAAAAAAAGTTTCTCAATATAACCCTCTCTATATAATATGATCAAAGGCTAGTAGATTTTCTTGGTAATATAAATATTAATTGCAGGCAAAGTTCTACATACCGGATGAAATGTGATATCCTTTTTGCCTAAGCAAACGAAACAGTAAGGCAAGACGGTGAAGGCCCCCTTCTTCTGTGCTGATGTTATTGTTACCAATTACAGTATTGTGGATTTTTTCTAATGCTTCATCAATTTCTCGTTCAAAATGATAAGATATACCCAAACGTTGGATTGAGTCAATGAAGTTTAGTTTTTGTGAGTCATTATTACTTGAAGATAGAATCATCTTCTTCACTTCTTCTTTTTGCCTTTGAACTTGTTGCTTCAGATTGTCACTGACTTCCTGCAATTAGTAACAAGGAATTAAATGTTCATTGAGCATTTAAATATTTAAATATATATAAATGTCATGATAAAAATTTGTTTTTATGGGTATGTGTTATATTTTTGAGGTTTGAATATCTAAATTTTACTAGAAATGGGTGAGGGTATCTTAATATTGAAGTACATAAGTGGCTCTTAATTGAACTATTGATCAGTTGTTAAGCTTTTACATGTTTCTGTATGTTAAGTTTAATACTCAACTATTTTTCTTTCACCAAAAACTGAATCTAAAATATGACAAAAATAAATTTTATCTCTGAAAGGTGTTTCTAAGAAGCAAGAAGTGAAGACTACATAATTTCTGTCTGCTTGTACCCTTTATAAAAATCTTTATTAAAAAGAATATTCCTCCACTTAAAAACTAAGTAAATACCAATTTTAGTCCCTAACAAAAAATGCGGTCTCCACTTTAGTCCTTTACAAAAATAAATTAGTCAGTTAGTCCCTAACAAATTCAAAGTGAACCTATTTAGTTGAAATCATGGTCCCTCACAAATTCAAAAAAGACCTATATTAGTCCTTCAAAAGGACTAAAATGGGTCCACCTTGAATTTATTAGGAACTAACTGACTAATTTATTTTTGTAAGAGACTAAAGTGAAGACCGTATTTTTTTTTGTTAGGGATAAAAAGGTCTTTACTCAAACTATAATATTTCATAAACTACTACGACAGTAACAATACCAATATTAAGGTATATATGTACCAAAAAATTGCATGTTTAAATATAGTACCAATGATTGTGAATGATATTGGAGGAAAACATCGCCCCAAACGCAACGAGTATAATTTACACAAGGTCGCTTGATGTCAGGTATTGCATATTGGGTCGAAAGAACAGGTGAGGAAGCTGAGTGAGACATCTTCATTCACTGTTAAGCGGTGGGTGGTAAAGGATAAAACTTTGAATTGAAGGAGTTTGTACGTGTTGAGATGTTTAATAGGCATGTATATATAGGAGATAATGTTGAGCTGGTGGACGTGACTCATGAGAGTAGGGTGCACCTAACTAGAGTACTGGGTATGTAAGTGGTTAACGTGCGTGTTCGGTTGTTTAAAAAAAAAAAAAAAACGTGCGTGTTAAGATGCGCAGCCTAGGAAGATAATAAATAGGTGTGTCGGTGGTCTACACTGAATCAATTTCAAAATAAAAATTATCTGATTCAGTTCCTTCGATTTAGTTATTTAATCATCTATTACGATTAATTTTCTTTTAAAATTTGATCTGATCCAATCAAATTTTATTCGATTTTAATTAAGTCGATTTTTGATTTTTTTAAAAACCTAAAATTTCAATCGTATAAATCATTGACTATATCAAAATCATTCAAAGTTATAAACCACTAGAAAATTCAAGTCTTCCAACTAAAACAAAACTTAGGTGCCCGTTTGGATGAGTTTTTATTTCTAAAAAAGTTACTCTTTTTTTTAAAAATAAAAGTCCTTTTGAGAATTTTTAGATGTTTGGATAATAATTTTTTTAAAAGTAAAATTTAAAATAAAAGTTAAAATGCTGTTTTTTTTTAGCCAGTAGTTGGTTGCTTTTGAAAAAAGCAAAAATTATAAAATAATATAATTTTTTTTAAGAAAAAAGATAATATAAATTTTTAAAATATAATTTTAACCTTATCCTATTATACCTATTTTATCTCTTTTTATCTCTCCTTTATTGTAATTTTATATATAAAAAGTGTTTTTTTATTTTAACATCTAAATAACTTTTTTATGTAGTTGAGCCCTGGGATTTGACGGCGAACTTAAAAAGAGTGATTTTCATATCATATATCCAAACGTAAAATAACTTTAACTTTTTAAAAAAATTCTTTTAAAAAAAGCAATGGATAAAAAGTCATTTTTTAAGAGCTCATCCAAATGGTTTGCTATCAATAACATCCAAGTTTTCAAGTCTACAAAACAACAAGATTCCAAGTCACCAATACATAATACATTGGATCGGTTTGGATTGGATTAGTTTTCACCCACCAAACCGAAAACCGATCCAATCCTATGATGTACTTTTTTGATTTTTGGTTTTTCAGTTTTTGATTAATTCGATTATCCATTTTTCAGTTCGGTCATCGCGGTTTGAATCGGTTTGGATCGATTGATGAACACCCCTAATATTAAGAATGCATGTCCAAAAAAAGGAATGCATAGAATGCCATGTCTGCAAATTAAACTAGATTAGTCTTAAAAAACGGCCAACGATATATATGAGTATATGACCACATATTGCACCCACTTGTGATCTATGTTGCACCGACACCGATACGGGACGCAAGACACAACACGATGACACGTTAATTTTAAAAAATGTTAAATTTCGACACGTTAGGGCACATTTTGATTTTAAATAATAATTTAAATTTATGTAATGTAAATTATATTTAATATTCAATAATTTAACAAAAAATAAAACTAAACTTATAATACCCATCAATTTTACAAAGAAACATAAGATGTAAATATTTACAATTATATTTTCAAATTGAAAATCTCTTATACATTCCAATGAGATTTATTAAATATCCATTTATAAAAAAAATTGTATTAGTTGGAAAAACATTGATTAATTTTTTCGTGATATGTAATGAAATTTCAAATGTTATAAATGTTGGACCATGTCAGAGTGTCGGGGGGTGTCAGACATGATACTTCAAGTTTTTTGAAGTGTCGGTGCAATATAGCTTGTGATGATGTGAGAAACCACATGGAATATATTAATATATATAGCATCCACTTGTGATGATATGAGTGTTAGGTTTTTCTCTTTCACTAATTAAAGCACAATTGAACCTAGTGTGTAAGAAGAACTCAAGAAACCTAGAGCTCATTCAGCTTAGGGCTAGGGTTTCTTGGAACTCATATATATTCTACACTTATAGTCATTAGCCTCAAGGGCCTTCATCACTTTGTGGTTGCAGAGGCTGAGGTAAGGTCATTGATATGGCTCCAGCATATATATAAATCTAAGCCAAAAAGAAAAAGAATATTGATTAATCTTGAATAAAAAGGCAATATTTACTGTTTATTTGTTAAAATCTCAATCAAAGATAGTACAGTTGATTTTCTTTCGATTTTGTAGGAAAAACAGGACAATAAGGAGCCAAATTTGGAAGTAAGAAATCGAAGTCCCACGCTACTAGTGTGAAACTCACGCTAGTAGCGCCAGAAGAAAAAATCAGCCAAAGACATCCACGCTCACAGCGTGAAACTCAGGCTAGTTGCGCCACAACCCACGCTCACAACGTGGGAACCACGCTAGTAGCGTGGGAGGTGCGGACAATCACCATTAAATCTTTTTCTGCATCAGCGGAAGATTAGATAGAGATTTACGACAAAGATTCAATCAAGATTTCTACACAAGGTTATAAACTCTATAAATAGAGACTCGAACCTTAGAGAAAAACATCTTTGGCTAGAGAGAATTGAGAGAATTCTTGGAGACTCGCGCTGGAGATCAGGATTCCACAAGAGTTGAAGGCTGAAGACATTGAGCTTTTATTCTTCTTCTTCTTTTCTTCTTTATAGTTCATGAACAATTTTTCTCTTAATTTGTTTAAGCCAGCTATGTTTGGCTAGTTGTTTTTGTAGTTGGGATCACGGACCCAATGTGAATCCTTTATATTTTCTGTATTGATATTTTATAATTTAATTAGTTAGTTGTTTTATTCTACCTGGTTTAATTTTTCCATATCATGTTTAGAACTGATCACTTTAAACATTTTATAGTTTATTCTACCTGGTTTATTCTAGCTCTGAGGTTGAGACCTCTAGCGGCAGGAGGCCGAAGTTGAGCTGATACGATGCATGGGGGTTGTCCATGCCACATTGGTATAAACTATGTTTATTTCAGACTTGAGTTGTATTCTGTATCAGGATATTGTCCGGTCTACATGTTGTAATTCCGTGACTTAGCACGTTATTTATGAGATGAGGTTATTCAGTGTAGTTATTTATTGCAATTTACTTACAGGCGATATTTTGAAAAAGAATTAGTTAATTCACTTGGTTAATCTGATAAGTTCACAATTAGGAAAATTTAGTTTCCACATTTATTGAGCTGCGCTATTACCCTTTATATGTTTAATACACCGGGTGCACACGAGGTGTTACAAATATAGCTCAATTCGCAATACAAGTCGAATAGGTGGCAAGAAAATCTGAGTTTGATTCCCATCAAATGGAAAAAAAACTTTAAATATGACTAAATCCCAAATCACTATTATCAGAATCTAAATATTGATGTTAACTATTGTAACACTATATTGAATAACAATAGACGAAAGGAATTGTGAAATATTCAATAGTATTGAATTGATATAAGAGGTACAATATATATCGATACACTGATGGGCTTAGCCCAGACCTAACTCAAATCCTAATAAAATAAGAAAATGGATATTTACAGATATACTAAAGATATTCTTTCTAACACTCTCCCTCAAGCTGGTGTATATAGATCATAAGCACCATACTTGTTACATATTAACTCTATCTGAGGACCCCTAAAAGACTTTGTAAGTATATCTGCTAATTGATCATTAGAGAGTACAAAACTAGTTATAATTTCACCAGCAAGGACCTTCTCTCAAACAAAGTGGTAATCTATTTCGATATGTTTGGTCATTTCATGAAACACTAGATTGGACGAAATGTGCAGCTCTGCTTGGTTATCACAAATAAGAGTTACTAGTCCAGTGTCTCTAAACTTGAGCTTTCTAATGAGTTGTTTAAGCCAAATGAGCTTGCAAGTAGTAGTAGCCATGAAGCAGTATTCTGCTTCAGCACTTGATCTGGCAACTACATTATGTTTCTTACTTTTTCAGGAAACCATGTTGCCTCCAACGAAGACACGATATCAAGAAGTAGATCTCCTTCAGTAGGACAACCAGACCAATCAACATCACATTATTCAACAACTTTAGCATAACATTTATCTTCATATTCAAGGCTTTTTTCTGGAGATGCCTTGTTATACTTAAGAATACGAATGACGATATTCCACCGTTCTTGACATGGAGAATTAAGAAATTGACTTACCACACTGACTTCAAACGAAATTTCTGGCCGAGTGACTGTGAGGTAGTTCAATTTTCCAACCAATCTTCTATACCTCTCAGGAACTGAAAAGAACTCCCTCTCGTTTGGTAGAAGCTTGACACTTGGATCCACAGGAGTATTAACAGACTTAGAATTTAACAAAGCAATTTTTTCAAGAATATCCTGAGCATATTTCCTCTAAGATATCACAACTCCATCTTTAGATTGGGCCACCTCGATTCCTAAGAAATATCGAGGTCTCCTAAGATCCTTGGTCTGAAAATGATGACATAAGTGTTGTTTAAACTGAGTGATCCCATGATTATCACTACCTGTGATGACAATATTATCCACATATACCACCAAGTAGATAGATCCGAAAGTTGAATGACAATAAAAAAAGAATGATCAGCTTCACTCTGAGTCATACCAAATTGTTGAACAAGAGGTTGCTACATATAAACTTCCTCCGCAAGATCACCATGAAGAAAAACATTCTTAATATCAAGTTCATAGAGAAGCCAGTGGCGGATAACAGTCATGGTAATAAAGAGGCGAACAGGAGAAAAAGTATCAACAAAATCCAGTCCAAACACTTAAGTGAAACCCTTCGCCACCAAGCGAGCTTTAAGACTATCCCTTTGACCATCAGAACCAATCTTAACAGCATAAATCCATCTGTAACCAACAACAGATTTTTCAGATGGAAGAGGGATCAGATCCCAGGTACCATTATGATTAAAGGCACTCATTTCATCAATTTTAGCTTCTGGTACCTCAACTCGGGACCTTGCAAGGCCCTGCTGAC